GGAATCCTCCTCGTCATTTCTCCCTGCCATGAGGGTCATCCTGTTTCGATACCATCCAGCCTGGCCTTGGACACTTCCAGAGATGGGGAATCTCTGGATTTCCCTGGGTAATCTATTCCAGTGCCTCACCAGCAGTTCAGATGCTCCCAGGAAACTCCAAGTGCCATTCTGTGTCAGTGCATGTCCTTGCAATGCTCCAGTGCATCCCAAAAACAGCTGGTTGTTCCCAAGCTTTCTACCAGCCCTTCCCTGCTGGAAGAGCCCCCCATATCCCTTTCACACACCTCTCCATCCTTCAGTGGTCTGGATCCAGCCGGCTATTGCATAACCCTAATTATGTTATTGCTGTAATTGCGTCTGCTGTCTGCAGCACATGGATTCGTTACAAGCTTTTCATATGCTAAAATGATCATTAATGAGTGCAGTCCCATCCCAGCGACAAACAACAGCCATGACAAAAAGATCTTTTGGAAGGCAATTAGCTCCATGCTAAGCTGCCTAAACCATGGGCTGTGCTGGGAAATTTGGGGCTGGGGAGGGAGCACTGGCAAACGTGGCTTTTCTCTTCTCTTTTGATGAGTTAATGAGTTACTGAGCGGCAGCAGGCACAGTCATTCTTGTGAAACAGCTCCACTAAGGAGCCTTTCCCTGTCGGTGCCGAGGGAAAGAGCATTTATCCCTGGATAAACAGAGGACAAAATGTATTCCCAGGTCGCTGTGATGGATGCCCAGGTCACTGTTGTGTTGCTTTCCTTGGGAAAATAAAACAAAACAAAGCAGAACAAAACAAAAAACAAAACGCAACCTAGGGAAAGATGAGGTTGGAAGGAACAAGAATAATTATTTTTTCAGTAGAAGAGTGCCAGCTGTATCCTGGTACATCCCAAATCCTTCTCCATTCTCCAGTGGCACTGGAGGGTCTTCTGGGCTCTCTCTCCATTCAAGGCAGGCTGGGGTGAGTTGTTTTTCCCTTTATATCTGTGAGGACACATCCCATGGCCTGGTTATCCTCACATCCTGGAGTACTGGAATGATGGGTTCACCCCAATTCCTCATAATTTTAATTGCTTATGAAGCCTAATGAACAAATTTCCTGTGGTCACATCAGAGGATGGAGAGCCTTGAGGCAAGAATGGAGGCTTCTCCTGTGAATCCAGGGAAACTCAGACACATAAGGCTGGATCAGAAGATCCTCAATCTGAGGATCCTCTGGAAACAGCTGGGGAAGGATCCACTGAAGATGAGCAAAACTGGAGTACAGAAATAGCAGCAAATCTACTCAGGATTCTCATTTTTGGGAGCAGATTAAACTGCATTTACTGCTTTGCTTTGCTATTTTCTGTCTCATTCAGAGAGAATATGGCTCAATGTTGTGTTGCCAACCTTCTGCTGGCTGTGGAAGTGTGTCAGAGTCCTGTCCCTGTCCCAGGTGAGACCTGGTGTCCCTCCACAGGTGACAGAGCCCCTCTGTGCCCCTGGCACTGCCTCCCAGCCCAGCTGTGCTGTGGGACCTGTCAGCTGCAGGGCTGATGGAAGCAGCACAGGCAGCAAATTCCAGCAGTGGGAATGCAAGGGACCTCTGGGGTTTGGTGACAGCTCCTCAGTGGTTTTTGCATTAGGGGTATGCAAATGGCAGAGAGGCTCTAAGTACCTCTGAGGATCTGGGCTGGAATGGAAGGTAAATAAAGACTCAGCAGGGATGTTGTCATCTCCCTGCTAGGATGCTTTAATACATACATTCATCATTTCTTTAGAGAGCACAGTGATGGCTTCATTAGAGACTCTTCTGCATAAATAAGTCACTGGGCCATGGCAGAATTTGGATGGAAGGATATTACATCTTCTCACTCAGCTAGACTGAGGCATTGGTACATGTCTGTTTCCACTTCTTTCTCTTTTATTTTTGCCACAAGACAACTTGGTTGAATGGGAAATGGCTGTTTAGGTGTGTGATGCCAGGGAGTTGAGTCTGGAGAAGACCAGGATATTTTGGTGGGTGATGGCCTGTGACCCCAGAACACTGAGATCACATCCTGGGAGTCTGTCATGGCCAGGGCCCTGGAACTGTGATTCTTGAAACTCAGATCTGTGCATGCCATCCCTGGCTCCAGGGAACATTTCCTGCTGCTTTTCCTTGTTTGGATGAGTCACAGGAGTGTTGTGCTTCTGGGGAATAATCTCTGAAAGGCTGGAGAGGGGTGGGGAGCTTTCAAACCCTTGTGAGTCACAGACTCAAGAGTCTGTTTGCTACCAGGTGGAAAGGAAACAGGACAAACTTGGAGAAGGAGTTGGTAAGTGTGTCTGTGCTCCAGTTCTTGGGAGCACCCTGTCCCTACACCCACTATCCTGCCACCACTTGGTGACAGCTCAGCCAGAGAGGAAAATGAGGATTTTAACTTCTTGTCAGAGCCAGACTGGCACCTCTGATTTCCTCCAGCAACCCCATTTATTTTTGCTGTGGTGAGCCCCCTTCTCATTTCACCCGTCAGGAGGGTGCCTATCCAACATTCATGAGGAGCTGCTCTCTTTTCAGGTGCCATAAATCAATGTATTCCACTGCTTTGCAGCCTGTTTTCCCCACAGGTCTGTGAATTGTGCTGGTGGCATGTGGATTTTTTTTTTCCAGTGCCAAGGCACACCTTGCTTTTTAACCCTAAAATTCCTTGCTCTTTGACCCTAAGATTGCCTGTTTTCCCAGCCATGTTATGCATGCCACCAACTCCTGTGTGCAGCACAGATCTGATCTTCTCCAGCCGGTGATGTCATGACCTGTTGAAATTTTTCTGCAAGTGGCAAATGTCTAAGAAATATTAATTCCTCCTGCTCAGCATCTTCTCCTGGGTGTAGTTCTGCAGGACAGCACCTCCTGGGATTTCCAGGTGCTCACTTTATTCACAAACAACTTTCCAGGCCCACCTGGACCTGGATCCCCAGGTCCACCTCAATCCCTGGGGACTGGGGGTCAGGCAGAGTGTAAAGAAAATCAAACCCACACCACTTTTCACTGGAGCACTGGCAATGAAGAACATTTAGACCAGAGGACTGAGTTAGACAAAGATTTCTGGCTGGTCCTAAGCCCAGAAGACAAAATGCCAGGGCTCCAGGGAGAGAGATGTTTCTGTGCCTGCTGGAAGTTGCAGTAAAATTAATGAGGTTTGCACGAGTTTTTATGGTGAAACAGAGTTTAGCTTTGGAAAATGTCAAGCAAGAAGGACCTCTGCCTCCTGTGCTTCCCTCTGCCAAGGATTACATCAGCATCCCACCACCAAAACCAGGTTACCAACAGGGACTGACTCATTGGGGTAAATCAGGGTGGGAGTGGAGGGCACAAGACCAGACTGAGCACAGCTGGAGCCTCCTGGTGTGGAAGGGTTTCCCCCCATGCTCTTGCACTGCTCTGTCTTGCACTCCAGCAGCTGCTCATCCTGCTCTGTTATGGAGTATTTTCCCACTCACCCACCTCAAGGATGCTCACCACACAGCATTTCCATGTCCAATTCCTCTGCAGTGGCACACAGCCCCCATCTCAGCAGGTGTCTCCACGCTGTTTACAGGACACCTGTCAGCTCTTTTGGCTCCCCGTCCCCTCTGCCTCCTAATTATAAAATTGTGGATTGCTGCAGCTATGGGCTGCTTTTTTATTTTTTTTTTTTT